AAAGACTAAATTGAACACATTTTGTCATACATGAAGTACTATTTCAATCACCTAGAATATATTGAGGGCCAAAATAAAGCAATCTCAATACATCAAGGACCATTTTGATCATTTTCTCCTTCTATTCTCTACGATAAACTTCCTTCTATTTCTATTGGCATAATACATAAACATGACATTTAAGTTGACTTCAATGGATAACTATGCTCTCTAACTTTGAATGTGCATAAATAGGCACTTGATTTGTTCAAGTTTATACAAGTTTAAGTGTCTACTTGTGCACACCCAAAGTTAAAGGTCATAGTTGTGAATTGAAATCAAGTTAAGAATCATGTTTGTGTTATGTCATTTATATTTTGGGTATCATAAAGAAATCAAGATCTCGAATATCTTATAAACTCTTAAGATATTTATAACGAGATCAAAATATGCTAAATTTTTCTTAATAAACAAATACTTCAAGAGGATCCACAAATACATCCGCAAAAAAGGTTATTCAAAAATTGCTCTCGTTGAGAGTCGAACTCAAGACCTCCCGCTTACTAAACGGGTGCTCTAACCAACTGAGCTACGAGAGCTACTTGATGTACTATTTTCTCATATATTATTTAACGAAACCATCTATTTATTTTGATTTTTTCTTAGGAAGGATATCAATTTAGGATACCTATGAAAGATACTCATGAGGTTATACACCAAGTGCGCGTGTCATTATTATTGTATTTCCTTTACTACAGCATATTTCTTTTTCTAACATGCTTTGATATGTTTTACGCATCATTCTCTTAGTCTAGTCTTCACTTGTGGGATTGATGGCGTACTTGTTGATGTTTTTCATATTTAATCAATCTATCATGTCTAGCAAAAATAAAATTAAGCTTTTGGGGTAAAAGAAAAGATGAAAACAACCATAACTAAGTTAGTTTTGATAAAAGGTTTAAACTAGTCAGAAAGAAAAATCAACAAGATCCTCATATAGCTGTGCCATAATCAAACTGTCACAAAGAAAACTCAACAAATCAAAGAAAGTTCCACAAGATCCTTAGATAGTTGAGACATATTAAATCCACAGTGCTTTTTTTCCTGACAGCTAAATTTCGTCAACGTTCTAGTCGTGAAAAGAGTTTATTCCACTTCTTGTAGGTAATCGTCGATTTCAGCTGGTGTGAGAACTCTGCAAAGAAATGAACATTGCTTAATAACCAGCTCAAAAAAAATCATCTTTTGAGTCAAGGACAAGAGAACACTTGCCTGAATACTTTGTCATTGCCAATGATGCCAATCTCAATGTTTTTTCCAGAGATCTGCCCCTCAAATCTGAATGGATACACAAGGTAACGATTATTGTTAAAGATCAAAATATTCTGGTGCAATGCAGCGAGCGAGTAGTGATCACACTTATAATGAACTGAAGGTTCAAGTGCATGGCAATTTCTGTGTATCCTACTTTTGAGATGACGAACAAGGAAACTCGTGTTTTGATTCTGATGTTAAGCGACGAATCAAAAATAACAGAGGGGATCAGATCATCCGAATCACATCCTTTTCCAAGAAAAGTAACAGGGCTGTGTAGGAACACATTGTACCAAGGGGAGTAACTCGACTACAACAATATGTATGTGAAAAAGGTTGAGATGCTTACCCCTCCTTCAGGGTCAGTATAGCAGTGTGTACAGCATCATCAAGTTCCAATTCCTCCGTGTACCTGGCAGACGCTTGAATATCAGTTTTGAAAGCAAGTAAAAATTCACCAGTAAACATAAAAACCGCTTCAGATTGGCTATTAGTTGGCAACTAACATGATAATCCATTTTTTATAGGAACAATGTGGGCAACATTTTACAGGTGGAAAAGGAAAAATACTTCACATCCTTCTGGGGCTACAAGAGTTTCAACAATTCTGACCGCCAGTGGCTGCTACTATCAGCCAGCAATTAGCAAAAGCTCACTGGTGAATGCTAGTTTCAGAAACATGATCAATTATTTACCATCTCTTTCACTTGACCCTCCGCTTTAGTAGAAGTCTGGTTCATTCATTCATGTGAAACTTGCAGACTTTATGATCCCATGAATTCATCAATCAGTAGAGACTACACTAGACCACACTCTCTTATCCAGTTTCACCACCCTCCAACCCATCTCTCATCATGAAGGTTGTTGAGAATTACACACTGAATCCTGACTTGGTGATGACACGTCCAAGCGTAATAAGAATCATAATGGGTGATAACTGATGAGATTAAGATGATTCAAATTTATTAACCAAGGGCACACGGGATCTTTTACTCAAACACTTACAAGAATACAAAGAGAGGATTTAACAATTGACACACTAGCTCTGCTGGCTGTCTTCTACTCCTAAATTATACCTAATTTGATTATTGCAAAATGATGCAGGTTCCTTGCTCACCAGTTTTACCTCCAACTAATACAAAGTTATACTCGCACAATAATATATACACCAAAATATGTTGCCTACGGAGAATGTTGTCACAGCAAATCAAATGTCTCAACCACTTTCTAATTTCTGGTAAAAAACAGAAGTACAAGGATATAATGTGGTATTAAGAACGTGAACACTTAAAGATGGAGAAAGTTTGTTGCCAAAAAAGGAATGGGTGGAATTGGATGTTTGCGGGCATTATCAGAAGGTAGTATAGTGTTATAATATACCAAAGATTTTAGAGTTCAGTTCACAAGGTAGTGTCCAAGGAGAACCTTCTAAAACTTCTAATGGTATTTTCTATAACTTGATCTGTGTTTGAAGTGTAACTTTTTGAATAGAGTAACTGTGATTGAGTACAACAAAATTCCATAATAACTTACCTCTTCTCTAGAAATGTCTTTGCATTGGACACATTCTTCCCCATGGCTGAGGCCTTCCAAGAGAAGTAAGAACCTGATGGATCCACCTAAATGAGAAAAATAAACTGAATATTTGAACATTTCTAGTATCATAAATCAAAACCCTTTATAGGTTAAACAGGTCATAATCAAGTGAGAGAAGTAACAGGTGAAGCATGGGAATGAATGTATAGACCAACCAACATTAGGTAAAGTAGCTCATATGCACCATAATAACATTGAAGGATAGAAAAAGACGATTGAACACACCAGAACAAAGAGGTAGATAATATACCTGATATAGTTGAGGACCCTTGTCATCATACCCCGCAACCAAGAGTGAAACACCGAATGGCCTTACACCACTGTATATAGAACAAACAGGAATAGATAGAATTAAGAGATTGCAAGAATAAGACTACACAGGATGACTCCTCCTTGTGTATCTGACATTAAGAATCACAAACTGATAAAGACCAAGGAAATCTAGTTTAGTTTCATAACATGAGCAGTGTGCTTTCCAACTGATACTTTCAACCCAAGCAAAAAAGAGAATGGAGAAGTGGAATAAATACTAACGAAGAACACAGAGAACCGAGAACACAAGAAGATAAAAATTGTAGCGGTATTTTCACTCTCTTCCCTTCTCACATGATATTCACATACAAGGTAAAGCTGCTGCTTCTTTTCCAAATTCTTTACTACCAACACCGACATACAAGTTTTAGAGTTTGCATGCCTTCAACTACAGCTGTGTAAACAAGGTTCCACTAGAAAATGAGGGCAACGATGCTTTCAATATATGTATATCCAGTATATGTCAAGGAATTGGTTGATTACACACACTACAGTACGGGCCATTTTTTCTACCATTCAGTAATACCATTTGAGGCAAATATGTATCACCATATTAGCCACAAGCTCCCACATTTAACAACAGTAGTCAAAGTAATGTGCTTCATGAATTTTAATGGTGTCAAATCAACTAATAATAGGCTGACTTCCTTCGACTTTTACCAGTAAATATATCATAATGATGATTGACCATACTACTAAGAGAGGCCAACCACATCACTTAATAAGAAAAATATCAAAGTTAATGTTTGACAAGCCACAAAATGTGTCAATCAGCCTCATAAGATAATAACAACAGAAATTAAATGATTCAAAATGAATATACAAGTAAATGATGCAAATTGCTAATATATGACACTCCATGACTCCATGTTCAGTGAATTATGATATAAAACAGCAGTTACCCTGATTGGGTGAATTCCTGCATGACAGCAGCAGTTTCCCTCACCAGCTGTGTGACAGGTATTGATTCCTATATAAAGACACATTAGGCAAAAACAGTACACATAAGTTATGCTTAAAAAATCAACATCAAACAGGCCCGATGCAACACCAGTAATATTACATTTAGTGGAAAAAGGACACAACAATAACTATTATGCACCGATCCCTAACGAGTTGGATTGGCTTTATGAATCTTCACTGACCATACTGCTCCTAGTTGAAAAAGGACAAAGGGGGAAAAACACACATCTGCTCCCAGAAAGTAAGGGAAAAATGTACTC